TGGAAGGCTTTCGATTGGTTGAACAACTAATAATGCATGGACCATGTGGACTGAAGTGTATAGTTAATAACAAATGCACAAAAAAAGTTTCCACGACCCTACAATGACATCACAAGCATCAATGAAGCTGGATACATTACTTATAGTAGGAGGCATGACGAAACAAAAATTTTCATGAAAGCAGATGCAAAGCTTAATAATATCTATGTTGTGCCTCACAGTCTCCTACTTCTTAAAAACTACAAAGCTAATATCAATGTTGAATGGTGCAATAGATCATCTGCCATAAAGTATATATTCAAGTATATCACAAAAGGAGTCGACATGGATACAATGGCAATCGAAAAGAAACAAGTGGTGGAACAGAAAACAGAAGAACGTGAGTCAATAGAAGAGATCAATGAGTTAGCATAATACATGGAATGTCGTCACCTCTCTACATGTTAAGCTGTTTGGCGTATTTTTTCATTTGATATACATGAACGAAAACCTTCTGTAACAAGATTACTAGTATACCTAGAAGATCAACATAGAATTTTTTACCCTGAAGAGAGCAATCTCGAGTCCATTATCTCACAATATGGAATTGAGAAAACAATGCTTACCGAATATTTTGAGATCTGCAAACAATGTCTTGAAGCAAGAGAGCTTACATATGGCCAATACCCTACAAAATTTATGTGAGATTCAGATGCAAAAACGTGGTCACCAAGGAAACAAGGATTCAGCATAGGAAGAATAGCAAACATTCATCTGACAGCAGGAGATTCTTATTATTTGAGAATGTTGCTTAATATAATCGAAGGTCCGACAAGCTTTGATGATCTGAAAATAGTTGACAATGTCAAAACACAAGTCATTCAAAGAAGCATGTTACGCAAGAGGATTGTTGAATGGTGATACAGAATTGAAAGAGGCTATGGATGAAGCAGCACAATATGCATATTCTTTCCAGCTTCACCATCTTTTTGTAACATTGTTACTTTACTAAGAATTACGTAGTCCTCTTATTGGAAGCATTGTTGGCGTCACTTTAACTCCGAGGACCAAAAATTCACTGATGAAGAACTACAAAGCTATAAGATTATAGAAATAAAAAGGATTCAAGCGCAAAATGATAAATCCCTGAACGATTGTGAAGACATGCCAAAGCTAGACAGTGAATTGTTGAAGAAAATGAAAAACTCAATGCTCAGAGATGAAACGACTTACAATTTGCTTGAACAAGAAGAAGAGCATAGCAAGTTAATACAAACATTAAATGAGGAACATCAGAAAGTGTATGAACCTGTTATTAACTCCATCGACAATATGAAAGGGAAATTTATTTTTTCTCAGTGTACCAGTAAGAACATGGAAAACATATGTTTATAAGACAAACATCTGAAGGTTAAGATCACAAGGAAAAACTGTGCTACCAGTGGCATCATCTGGAATTTCAGCTATACTTTTACCTAATGGTAGAACATCACATTCGCGTTTCGAATTCCGGTAGATCTCCATCAATACATGTGCAACATTAGTCGTGTCCATGCTTTCTGAACTACTTGAAAAAACAAATATCATTATCTGGGATGAAGCACCTATGTGCCATCGTTTTGTGTTTGAAGCTCTTGATAAGACTTTACGAGATGTACTCTCTATGGCAGATCCAAATGCAGCAACAGAACTCTTTGGAGGGGAACAAGTACTCTTTTGTGGTGATTTTAGACAATTTCTGCCAGTCATACCACAAGGCACGAGGCAACAAACAGTTAAAGCAACAATCAATCATTCCAATTTATGGAATTATTGCTCTATATCCACCCTTGAGAAACATATAAGGTTACACCAAGCTGAGATGTATTTTGCTAAATGGATATTAGGTATCGGTGACGGCACAACACCTACACCAGCAAAATATAAAACCTCGAATGAAGGAATCAGCATGGTTGAAATAGACAACAAACTTCTCTTGCAAAACAATGGAAATCCTGTTGAATGCATTACAAAGTCTACATATCAAGATTTCCAAATTCATTTTAAAGACAAGAATTATCTCAATGAGAGAGTGATACTTACTCCAAGGAATGAAACGGTGGACAAAGTGAATAACTACATGCTATCTTGCTTAAACGGAGCGCATAAGGAATATTTGATTTCTGATAGTATTGGTGACGACAAAGAAGAAGTGACAAATCAGCATATTCCCCACTGATTTTTTTAATTCCGTTAAAATTTTCAGGGATTGCAAATCACAGAGTTGATCTCAAGATAGATGTTCCAGTCATGCTATATACAAATAAAAAAAAATAAATAAATTAAATATATTAAACGGACACAATTATTGAAATAGAAATACTAATCATAAGTTATATTGAAAGATTTTTACTTCAAAAAATGGGTCTCATACAATACACAAAACTGATGTGATTTTAAAAAAAAAATTGTAAAAGCAAAACATCAAATAAAACAGTGAAGATTGATTAATTAACCAGAATTAGTTAAAGACAGGTTAACTAATTATTTTTTTTTATGTTTTCTATTAATTTTAGCTATAATTGTTTTGTTTGAAGTTCAATATTCTATTAATAATATTAGGGATTTCATTCCATCTGATATCCCTTAAGTAATATTACTATATCTATTAATTAATAATTAATCATATGAAATATCTTATTCTATTGTTAGCATATACAATAATTTTTAATATTTATAAAACTGATAAACTGCATAAAAAGATACTTATGTCTAGGCAACCATTAAACAGAAATACTTATTCCAATGAATAAAACAGTGGAAAAAATGGATAACTATATATTAAGTTATGTTACATGAAAGTGGAAGTGGGTACGTGAAAGCGGAAACGAATGGAAGCGCAGAAGTGACATTTTTAAATAATATTATAAACCGGATGCGTGTTGGACGTATTTCCATATATATATATTAAAATATAAGATTTTTTTTTAAAAAAAATAGGACTAAAAAGTGTATCATTTAACATAAGATAAAGCATTTATTAATTTATAATAATTTTGAAAAGATTTCATATTAAAACTGTGAAAATACACATAAATTAAGTTTGAAATAAATTATTATACTAATTATTTTAATACTTCATAAATAATTGACACAATATTTTTGTATCTATGCTACATCTTTAATAAAAAAAACTCAATGCATAAATTTTACTTTTTCAGTATTAGTTTTAATATTTTTATGTTTCTATTCTCTCTATTCATTACTATTAAAATCTGGATTTCGTACAAATTAAAAACTATTATTTTATATTTTTATTGATATATTTTGTTTTTTTAAAGAACGAAGTGTGATTCTAAAAAAAAGAATCGTAAGCTTCCAACGTGATTTTAAAATGAATATTATAGAAGTGTTTTGGAAGCGACATTCTGTAAGCTTCCACAAGGTTCCGATTCTGATTTTGATTCCGAAACAAGAAGCAGACGTCCGATGAAACTTCCATGCAATGTAAGTGGCTTACGCAGTGAAGCATGAACTACTTAGTGGAACTCGTTTAGGAAAACTAATTCTTATTTCTAGAATAAGTATCACACCAACAAATAAAAGATGGTCATTGAAACTGCAAAGACGTCAATTTTCTATATGAAATTTCTATGGAATGACTATCAATAAGAATTCAGGTCAGAACTTAAACAAAAGTTGATCTATATTTTTAAAATCCAATTTTCTCTCGTGGACAATAGTATGACGTCCTATGAAGAGTCACTACTACTACAGAACTTCAAATTTTAAAAGTAGGCTCAAAACATAAACGACAATAGCATTCTTTTTATGTTGTTGTGAAGTCAAAATATCAAATAAAACCCGTGCAACGCACATGTCCATATCTAGTATATAATATGATTTCATTAACAAGGAAAGTTCACAAAATAGTAATAGTTCATTAAAACATATTTTAGATAATATGTAATATACTTTCAAATTAATAAAAACTAGGTGACCGGCCCGCACCCTGTGCGGGCATAAGTATGTTCAAAAAATTATTATAATAGTATATCGGTTTAGAAGTAACGGATTGTACATCATCATACTACCATGTTTTGGAGAAACCCTACACCATGGAGAAAAGCCGTTACTCAATATTTGACATTGTATGAGAGGGTAAATAGCGCACATGGTGCGAGCAGTTATTGTGTGTATGTATAATTGCAAAGTCTCAAAATAATTAGTGTGTTTTACGAAAATATTTTCATTCGTCATTTAATGGATTTTCTAAAACTTCTTATAAATAGTGTACAGTTTTAGAAGTAAGAGATTTTATATTATCTTTTGTAATTAGAATTGTATTGTATATATGTTGTAATTTTTATATTTAGGTGAATAATAGTATTATGTTTAATTTTCATAATTATTTATGTACACATATTAAAAGAAAATATAATAAATTTCAAAATAAGCTCCGAAAATAAAATCAAAATTATTATCCATAAATAATGTAAATTTATGAAGTACAAAATCTTGATAAAGGTATAGCAAATCCATTAGACACCTGCAAAAAAAAAAATTTAGTTTGTAAGCCCTAAGACCGGATAACATTCTGTGATAGATATAAAATAATTTCTGAATTTTATTGTATCTGTAAATAATATTAAATTCCATACCGTCATAGAAATAGGCAGAATGATGGATAGTAATCAAATAAAATCTCTCTGGTACCTCATCAATACCCATCTTGCAATACCTTGTCAAAAAATAATTGTAAAAGTTTATATATCAAAAAGAAAATTATTTGAAAAAGTATATTAAAATCACATACCCTGACTACAGAATATTCTGGAAAACTTGATTGTAGACAACATTCAATGTTTTCGTCTGATGCTTCGATTCTTTACCAGTTATTAGGATTTTTAATCCCGATCTCGACTTAACTCTTGAAAGTGCAACGTAGAGCTGACCATGAGAGAATACAGACTTTACTTTACCTTTGGTTCCATCTAGTAATCAAGATGTGTTCTTTTGAGAAACCACCTTAATTTAGATTCATGGTATTCAGAAAGTCTCCACCTTTACTCAATTTAAGCACTTTAGAATTGTATATTGACTCAATTTTTTTTCAGTTCAAGTGATTGTACAGAGATGCAATTAAAGCTTGTTCTTTTTAAGGCATCTAAGGTTGTGATTAGTTTATGTTTTATTGTTTAGGAGGAACCTGTGCTTGTCCCTAACTGCGATGTCGTCGAGAACTCAGAGCTTGAAGTTGTCAACGGAGAGGAGGAAAGTAAGCTTGAGGATTATGGGACTTGTGTAGATGTTATAACCGATAGAGTCAATCAGGTGAGAATCTCTTTCACTTTGCATGATTGCATCTTCACTACCTTCTTGCTTTCGATTAGAGGCTCTTACACAGCTATATTGGAAGTGCAGCTTGAGCAAAAAGTGGTGGAGGTTGAACAGTTTTACTCTACCAAAGATGGAGCAGGTCACACAAACACTTCTAAGAGTAACTCCGGTGGGAAAAAAGTTGCTATATCTCAACCCTCCAGGTGTAGCTCTGCTGGGAAAGAGAAAACAAGAGGGAAACATGTTTCTAGCCCTGAACTTATGCGTCAATTTGCTACAATTATTCGTCTGGTAATGATGAAACTTCTTAAGCTTGGATTGCTATGTTTTCTGCATTTGAACCTTTTGTCTTCTTATACCTCTTAGATAGCTCAACAAAAATGGGCGTGGCCGTTTCTGGAGCCTGTTGATGTTGAAGGGCTTGGACTCGATGATTATCATACGGTTAAGATTCAAACCTTGCTTTTTTCTTTGTGGGCCAAGTTGGTTTTATGGTTGAATGAGTGTTTTTGATAACTGTATCTGTGAATTTACATGACAGGTTATAGAGAAGCCAATGGATTTGGGAACTATTAGAACTAAAATGGAGGGTTCTGAGTATAGCAATGTCCGGGAGATATATGCTGATATTAGGCTAGTTTTCAAGAACACAATGAGATATAACGAAGAGAAACATGATGTTTACGTGATGGCTGAATCTCTGTTGGAGAAGTTTGAGGAGAAATGGCTTACCATAATGCCTAAACTCGTCGAAGAGGTACATCTTCTAACTATTCTGTCTTTGTAATGAGAATGGTTGTGTTGAACTGCTTTGGTTTTGAACAGGAAAAGAAACAAGCAGAGGAAGAGGCTCAGGATCGTGCGAGTAAGCAGCTTGCTGTGGAGGCTGCTCAAGCAGAGAAAGCTAGGGATTTAAGCAACGAAGTAAGCAAATGCAAAACCTTTTTTAAAAATTTTGCTCTGTTTCAGGCTGTTGATTATATATATTAACTCAGGTTTGATGAGTCTTTTTGCTTGTATCTTTTAGCTGTATGAGATCGATCAGGAGCTTGAGAAACTTCGAGAGGTAGTGGTTCAGAAGTGCAGGTTCAACTAATCTCTTCTCTTAATCATTTAGCCCTTAATGAATTTTTTTACTTGTTGTCTTAGCAAAGAGTTTTTTTTTGTTTGATTTCTGAAATGAACAGAAAGCTGTCTACTCAAGAAAAGAAGGGACTTTCTGCAGCTTAAGGCTCTAAAAATGGTTTCAGAGGGAAACCCGCAGTTCCCTGCTGGAGCACCAGAAGTGGAGCTTGACATTGATCTTCAGGTAAACACCAAAACCTTGGTTGAGTCTGTTTCTTTGTTTGTTGCGGTCTATGTTTTTTTAACGGTTTTATGTTTTTTTGTTTTGTGAACAGACTGATGTTACTTTGTGGAGGCTGAATGTGTTTGTGCAAGAAGCATTGAAAGCAGCTAACAAGAGCACTGGTGGACAAACGCCCAAAACAACAATAATGGTGGAGAGATGAACAAGACCGCTGCCAAAAGAAAGAGACAGATCACTGATGCACTTGCTAAACTTAAAAAAGCCAAGAATGCTTGAATCCCTTTTCTTTTCTGTTCTCTCTCTCTAATTATGTGTGTTTTAATCCCGCAAAGAACAGATGAAACTGGTGAGACATCAAAATCTAAATTAGAGAGACTTTCCAGTTCCTTTGCACATTTGGGTTTCAAACCTCTATTAGTACATTAACAAAAAGAAAAGAAAGGTGAAGAAAATCTCTGTTACATTCTCATGATCTTAATCTCTTTAATTTCTGATGATTATTACATTCTTAGAAAGATGTGGTTCTCTTCTTAGCTTCACAGAGATTCCAAGTATGTTCTATGTGCATTTAGTTTTTTGTCAATAATCATTCTGATCTCCCACAGCCTTCACAGGTGTCGGTCGAGGAAAACCCACTTCCTACACATTGTCGAGAAATAGAAAATCATATCTCACATCACATGTGCATGCATATATTATTATGTGGACGTACTAAATTCAGAAAGCACATGTCATGTGCATCACATAAAGACACTGTTAGGATTATGATTACTTTTAAAGTTCTAGTCAACTATAATCTAACTCACACAATGAGCAGTTGAGTTAGGGACAAGAGAGCTTCCTACAATCATGTCAAACTGCAAGAGATCAGAGACGTAGAACCCTGAGGTGCCACTTCCATCACCATACTGAAACGTGTAAGCGCAAAGGTTGTTCTGAACAAAACAGCCTGAATCAGAGGACTGAACACCCCAGCTGCATCTTTGGTCAGAACATGAGATTGGTGTCGCTGTTATTTATATCTATCTATTTTCTTAAATGATTACATAAACTATTTAAGTAACACAAACCAATATATGTTCAGTTGACTAAAGATAATTTACAATTAGTATTATTTAATTTATTTATTTTCATAATCTTTAGTTGACTATAATATCTTACAATATACAGCAAAAAAGTAAAATATCTGTAAGTTATATTTTATTTATATAATATGATTTCACAAAGAAAATCAAAAAATTGTTTTAGTGCTTATTTTTAAAATATATCAAAAATGAAACTAAAAATAAGTTTAACAATAAAGTATTTTTGATCAAATAATTACAAAATATTTTTAAATAGTATAACACTATATACTTTTAGTGAGGTAGATATATTATATTGTATCATTATATAAAAAAAATTATTATTAATATATAAACAAATAATTTTATACTAATAATTGATTTATATCATACATATAAATTATAGGATGACTTAAACATATTAATAAGAAAAATATTAACCGACTATTACAATTAGTTATTTTATAAAATTTATATATATGCATAAAACTTCAAAATATTTTCGTTATACCCATTTATGTAAATATGAATTAGACACTTCAGCTTATTTTTAATTTCATTCTAAGCACAATATATATTAAAGTACACATAATTTTACTAATATATATTTACATATCTAAGACAATAACCAACCTAAATGCATATAAGAAAATTAATAAAAAAATTTAGTATACTTAAAATAAAAAAATATATTATATTTGAATTCAAAGAAAGATATACAATCCAATATTTCTAAGTGATAACTAAATTCATTGTTGACCCAAAAACTACCAAGCCAACTAGATACATACCTAAAATTGTATGTCTAATTAAAATAATATAATATTAGTAATATAAATTATAAATTGATTTAAAAGTAAAAATAGTTATCAATTAATTATTATAATATATTTACTCTTCAAATATTTATATTCATGCAAACCACTACAAACCATAGTTAGGACACAATATACATATCAACATTTTTCCGTAAAAAAATGTGGTTTTACTTCTCTGACTCGCTACATATCTACATTAATAATAGAAACAACACAAAATATTATAATATTGCTTCTAAGTTTTGGTTTTTTACCTAATTTGCCAACGCGTTTAAAAATAAAATATTTAAGCATTTAACTGAAAAACTTTGCAAAAATCTAGCGAATGTAATCTACCAAATTAATACTCAATCGAATAAAAGTAAACATTTATGCTTCTACAAAATTACGTACAAATAATATTTTCTTCTTAAGCTACATTTTTAAGAAGTTGGACTTTTTTGACATCAAAAAGACAAAAAAAAACAAACAAAAGAAGTTAGACTTAATTATCCACTAAAAACTAAAAGAAAAATCCATAAAAAATACATCAACTAAATTTCATTAAATCTCTTCTAAATTATTAAAATGGAAACATTACGATTTCTTCTAGGCGGATTTTAAAATTAGACCTCTTATTATTTAGGCTATCTTAACTTTTAACTCAATCTTTAATAAAATATTTCTTTAACTAATCTTTTACTAATAACCATAATTATTTTCTTTCATATCGCATATAATATTTTCAATTTAAATATTTCTCTATATCCGTTATATCATTTAACTAATATATTAATATATAAATATATACTATACTTCCATTATAAAACAAACTATATTATATATCTTCATTTATGTCAATTGTTTATAGAAAATTCGTTAGCCTACATTTATTAATACTTATATCGATACTATCAATACTATTAACCAATGTTATTTTAATACTATGAAACTGACAAACTCTACAATTTCATTGTCCATATTCATTGTACGACAAACTTTAAACTATAGGTGGACATTGAAGAGTCATCCAAGTTATGTTCAAATGTATTTAGGTTTCAAGTTTTTGAGGTTAAAAATTTCATCTATATTCGAATATTTATAAATTTGGGTTTGGGTTCATTTCATATTTTTGCGGGTTTGGATTCAGATAACCAATTTAATGTTTTCAGCGCACATATATCTACAATACACTTATCAAAAACTATTAACACAAAATATAATTTTAACCATATTGTTTAGTCATATAAAATCCGTAAGGACAAACTTAAAACTATATAACTCAATAATATAAAATACATATATAATTTGTTTAAACAAAAAAATAAAACCAACGCAGGCGCGCGAATTTTGATCTAGGTGTAATTTGAGAAAATCATCTTTATTTTGTATTTTATTTACAGAGATGCCATTATGCTGAGGTGTCAAATCGACAGACCTCCTCAGTCTAACTAATGAAATGACCTTCAATTACTAGATTTATTACCAACACTACCATTATATAATATAGTCGATATTAAATATACAACAAAGTTTAAAAATAAAAGGGATAAGAATACAAACTAAGTAACAAAGAAACGGAAAAGCAATATCCTTTAGTTCTCTTTCATATGAAATCTGGGTTTTCTACCTGAGACATCTTACTGTTGATGTAAGATGTCTGCCCTGAAGTAGTCGCTAACGTAGTTGCTGACACAGACGACGTCTTGAGTGGTGAAGACCATGTGGAGTCAAGATGCTGAGTTGGAGTCGTGTAGACTTGAAGAGCAAGTGTATATTTTGGAGAAAAGACAAAAAGAATAAACTTGGGAAGTAAGTTTATGACTTAAGGGAAGAGAAATAAGACCATTCCAAGAAAAGGAAAGTTGCACTTATTGATATGGAAGATGTCCATACATGTTTTCTTGGAGACTAGGGTTTTAGCAACATGAAGAATAACTATAAGATAGCTATGAGGTCATTTGTAGAGAGACATAGACACATAGGCTGATCTGATAGAGATAAAAAGAAGCTCGAGGAAGTGTTCTAGGGTCGTGCTAAAGTAGTGGCTGAAGTACTTGACGCAGATAGACAAAGTTGGGTAGATTTGGAATCCTTCAGTAGCAATTGTTAGTGTTAACATGCTGTGTGAAACTGATAAGCAAATCTTGTAATAGATTGTTTAAAGGCGATTTCTAATAAATCATTGGTGTTGCTTGTACTTACATATTGTCTCTGGTTTACTTTTTGCATTACTATTGTGGTGTCTTCTTTGCACTTACAAGTGGTATCAGAGCGGATCACCTAAGTTACTAGTGAGATCGTGGATGACGAGGACGAAATCTGGTTTAGGAAGTGGGACAAAGTTTGAATGAAGACCGCTGAAGATGGTGTCATGGGATTTCTTCTTTGGTTTGGAAAGTGGTGATCTTCAAGTTGGTTTTTGACCATGATGTGATTCATAGGGGGAGATTAAAGACGTGGTTTTCAAGCTAGTTATGATGAGTTCACATGCATAGTCAAAAAGGGGGAGACTGAAGATGCAGTTTGCTGAGATGTTCTGTGAAGTACTACAAGAGGTAGTACGAGCGTGTGTCATGAAGATGGGCTTGGATTAGAGTTTGTGTTTCATGATGAGCGTTAGCTTGCTGAAGTTGAAAAAGGAAAGAAGATATACGTGTGAAGACATATGGACGTTTTCCATAAAGCAAAAGAGAGTTTGTTTAAAGATGAAGTTTTCCATTAAGGAAAATGGAAATTTAACTTATGTGTATTGGAAAAACATGGAGAGGAAGTGGAAGACTTGAAGAGCGAGTTAAATACGTGGAGAGAAAGTTCTGGTCTGCTATATAAGGAGTGACATGCCTTATGAGAAAGCCAGACCTCATAGAACAGAGAGAGAGGTCTCCTTGGTGTGTGTTACTGCTTGATGTCGAAGTACATCTTGAAGCATTGTCTAATGGAATCGATGTGGACTTAGTTTGGTGGTGTTACAGTTGGCGCTTTGTGTGGTGGAGTTTCCATCGTGTGTAGCTTGTGGTGAGCTTTGTGTGTGCTTGGGTGGTCAAGCTTTTGGTGTTGCTGCTCTGCGTTAGTTGCTGACGTAGTTGTTGACGTACTTCCAGAGTGTTGGAAGATTAAAGCCTACACACAGGAGGAGTTTAGCAAAAGTGGTTTCATTGAAGAGTTTTGTGAAGATTACAGTGTGCTCCGATGCGTGGGATTGTGATCTATACATGCGTGCTTGATTCGTAAGGTAAGAGGAAAGAAGGAAAGACAGAGTACAGCAGAAAGCAGCAGGAAGCATGGTGGCTGAGTTTATGCTTGATCCTGAACAATATACGCATTAAAAAGCATTAAAAAATTGAAGATGAAGGCAAACTTAAAAAATATTGATATGGATGTTTGGACATCAGTGGAAGATGGCTATGAAGTCCCCAAGACAGTAGATAAAGATGGTGTTTTGGTTAATAAACCATTGGTTGAATGGACAAAGTGTGAAAAAGAGATGTCAAGGTATAATGCAAAAGCATTATGGTATATTTACATCAGTCAAAAAGATGCAATTTCATCTGATTCAAGGCTGTAAGAATGCAAAAGAGGCATGGAATATTCTGTAATTACACTTTGAAGAAACTGAAAGGGTTAAGAGTTTACGGATGGAGTTTTTTCAAATCAAAATTTGAGAACTTGAGGATAGAAGAACATGAATCTGTATCAGATTTTAGTTCTCAACTCAGTGCGTTAGCGCAAGAGGCTTGTGTTCTGGACATGGAATTCAAGGACAAGAAACGGGTGAAGAAGTTTTTAAGGTGTCTGCCAGAAAGATTTACAGCTTATAATTAAGGCCGCAATGTTTGTGTCTCTTGACATAGATAAAGTCAGCTTTTACGAAATTGTGGGTATTTTAAAAGCTCATGAGATGGAGCTTGTTGGTGTGGGCAATCATACTGAAGTCAACATGACAATTGCTAAAGTGACAAGTCAAATCAGAGAATGAAGATGAGATGGTTAAGATGATTCGCGTGCTTCACCAAGTACTACGGGAAGTGATATAGTGGCAAGGACATGAGAAAGTTGCTATGAGAAAACAAAGGCAAGAAGTTGGTAAACCATGCAGTAACAAAGAGGTGCAATGTTA